TTATCTTATGTTTTAATTTTTATTGCTTTACATATTCATGATAAGAACATCAGTATACATAGATGCTTATGTTGTTGTAAAGGCATCAAGTATCAATATTCATATCATGAGTATGTGTATATGGACATCTGTTTGTACTTTAATTTTTATTGCCTGGCCTATAAATGTCATACAGCATATGAATTTATGGCCATACATTTTAATTGCTGGCTTATCGTTTCGGAAAACTAAACAATAGCCTTTCTGAATAAAAAATAATAATAATAATAATAATATTAAATTTTCTGTGCAGCAAATATTGCATACACAGCATAATTTTGCTGACTTATCGAAGTGCTTACTACGTTAGTATTTGCAAGACATCGACAATTTATCGATAAAAAAGATATCACCATTCACTAAGCAAGCTGCGGTCATTGGGTCAAACATTTGATTTTTCCCATACATTTTTTATTTGCGCCCATTTTCTTTATCACTATTTCATGAAATTTAAATAACAATACTTTGTGTTAATACTTATATGTGTGTATGCGCTTTGGGAATAGCACAAAACTGTTCTTTTTATTTACATTGAAAATTTTGAAGAATTCAGCGGCGAGTGATGGGTAAGGAAACACCAATTAAAATTCAATAAAACATAGAGAAGAAAAACAAAAACCAATACAAGAACAAAAACAAAAAATCCGCTAGTATATTGGATTTAGATATGTACATACATACAAGCATAAAATATAGGTACTATAAAAAAATATACATTCAAAATTTCGTAACTTTTCCATACATTGATTAAGCTATTTATATAAAATAGTTTAGAATATATTATTCATAAAATGTCTCAATGTTTTTTGGTCATAAAACTGTGTACCTTCATAGGTTTATAAGAATATATTTTCCGCTTGTGTATCTACATATAATCTCTCCGTCACGCTAGTGTAGAATGCATACATTTAAGCCAAATTTAATATGTATTATAGATGCTTATGCGTATGCATATGTATTTGTACATATAAATATATTAAATGAAAGTTTATTTAAATGTGAATTCATATCAAAAACATATAATTAATATAATATAATTATCTAACCTGAAAAATATTTAACTTTCAACCTAAATAAAGCTTAAATTAGTTAAAAAGAAGTAAAATTTATGTCAAATAAAGTGTTTGCATAACACACACATAAATGTGTTCGATAGTTATTACTTTAGATTAACACAAAAAATGGCACAAAAATTAAAATTACGTTTGTTAATAACAATTTGTTTTTCGAAAAAGTTTGGTGATGCATTCTTATTGCTTCCCAATAATTTATTATTAAAATGCTGAAATAATTTGCACATTTATGAAAACACTTCTTCATTTTAATCTTAATAATATTTTTATTTTTTTCCATATATGAACATTTTTTTAATAAGCCGAAAAATAAATACTTTTAAAAATGAAAATTCTGAAAGGATTATTTTTAAGATGCTCGCAAGTTCAATTAATAAATGTTAGACTAAAAAAAAAAAAAAAACAAAAAAAAACTTAAAAGTTAAAGAATTAAATTAATTTATAAAATTTATAGGCAGACGCATAGCGTTTCGTTGCTGCAATTAATTAGACAAAATTAAAGGATTTAAAAATTTTGAACAAACAAATGATTAAATAACCGTGTAAATCACATTAAAGTTGGTAAAAATAGTAAGTAATTATCGAAACATAATTACACACCCGTTAGCAAAATGTTTAATTCTCTCAAATAAACGAACCACGTTTCAATATGTAATAGTTTTGACAGAATATTCGTTTTTTTATATTGTTGCACGCAAAGAGTAAAAATGTTTGTACGTACAATTCAGACTAACATCGTAACATAAAAGGTTTATACAGGCACGAAAAAAAAACATGTATTAAAAAATTGTCAACACAAACTGGCCACTACACAACACAATCTTGGTGAAATAACAGTTAATATTGAAAAAAAAAAAATCAGTGACTTTCAATAATACAATAATTATTTATATTTTCTTCGATAAAAAAATAAATCGCATTAACAAAATGATTTCACCAGAAGTCTACCACTTGCGTACTCTTTTCAGATCTGAAACGATCTCTTATTTAATGATTTCTATAATGTGGCTTAGTTTATAATAATTATTTTTCGAATTTTTAATCGAACAAAAATAATTGTTACAAACAAGTATGGGGTTTGTTTTGCCCTGTGTCCTTGTCGATTTCTTTTATCGCTTACAAGCGAATGAAGTTAACAACGAAATCGATCAGTTGATCACAGCTGTGAGCTCAAACTGGAAACAGACGCTAAGGTTTCCTATTTTGGTGGCAAGAGTTGAAAGAAAACGTTTGCAAGACATACATACATATGTACTCCTTGTCCTCATTATAGCTAATTTACTTATTTAGACTCTCGAAAAAATATATTGTTATTGCGCCAGATACTTTAGCATAAGAAAATCGATCAAATACTTTGACAACCTTATCGCCACTGCTTCAGATACTTTCTCGAAGTCATTGCATATTTTGAATGCAGATTCAATACATTTAAAGTATTACCAACTTCCATCAAGAGAAAGTCCTTTACTTCTTCGGTTGTCTTTGTAATAGCTAATTTTTCAGCTTGTATTTACGTATCAGAGGAAAACGTAACCTCAATCGAAATGAAGTATAGAAAGGGTTCGATACTGTCCTATGTTTCGAAGATTGTACGAAAAGAAACGGAACGTCGCATACCAAGTCTGCCGAATGGGTCAAAATGCCGAGTATTTTCTAAGAAATATTTTTTGCTTACAGAATAATTTTTTTTTAATAATTAAGGAAAACTCGAAAAATAATTGTTATCAACACAGCTAAATATATATAAAACAATAATAAATATATAAATAAAATAAATAACAAAATAAAATAAATGAATAAAATAAAAATGTAAAAAATGATAAATAAATAACATAGACAATTGTGGGCTGAAGGTTTGCAAGATTGTTGGAAAAAATACTAAAAAGACACACACATACACAAAAACACTTGTTAGGGAAGTTTTCGGTAGGTTCATTTAAAAGTCAAATTAATTAAACTCAAAAATGTGCGTAATCCGCGCTGAAATTTCGAAGATGAATATATATGGAAATCGATAACTAACAATGTTAAATTGATAATAAACAACAATCAACAAGTCACTTCTATACATACATAGATAAATTTTAATTAAAATTATATAAAAGCTTTCAGCCAATGAAAAATAATGTGATGCGAGCAGAGCTAAACAACAAGAAAAGAAAATAACTGTAAAAAACAGTTTACAAATTAAAGCAGTTAAAATTATATATGTATATGAAAATATAAATGCACATACATATGTAAAACGTATGACATAAAATTGTAATAATACAATATTATTGTTAGCGAATGCCAATGCGTAAAAACAAAAATGAAGAAACGATTAGAGCAGCAAATAAGCCGTTAGCCAACCTACACACGCACATGACACTGGGGGCCAACCCCGAAAAATGCATATATTTATTTAGTGAAATATAAATTAATAAATAAAAAATCCAAAAATAAATAAATAAAAAGTAAAGATACATATATAATATATATATATATAAATATATACTAAATTGTACTTGAAAGAAAAGAAGAAGAATGTGTATGTATTATAAAATAATTATACAGCATAAACTGCAAAGCAGCTAAATCATACAAAAGCAATAGTACACCCCATATTTTCAAGCATCATCTAAATACCAGCCACTAAAATACGCCTAACATAGTGCTCATGCAAAATGATTTTTGGAGCATGCTTTTAGGCGAGTTTAATGATGGCACAGTCATATGTAAGGAAAATATAAATAGTCCAGTAAACATAATAACAAGTTGTTAAATATACCGAAAATCGAAAAAAAATATATTAAAGAAATTTCAATACATATGTATGTATGTATTAAAAACAGATCTAAATAAATCAAAAATATAAAGCGCCACCGCAGAAAATTTAATTTACAAATACAAACGTCTTGCGAGTTATTCATATATTAAAATAGGCAAATTAAAAGGAAAAAAATAATCGAAATTGAATTTAAAATTAAAAGTAAAAAGAAAAGTGAATTCGAGAATAACGCGCGAGGATAGCGCTGGCAACAACCCGCCGGCAAACGCATGCCACGCGTGGGCATCACAGAAAAACAAAAAAGTTGACAAATTATAGTAATAAAAAAATACTCATTATTGTTAAATGGTTTAAAGGCAAAAATGTAAAAACATAAATCAAGAAAAATAACAATTAAATATTAAATATATTTAAAATTAATAATGAAAGAAATTATTTAAAAAAATATATATATAAAAAATTAAATATATTTAAAATTAATAATGAAATTAATAAAAAAAAATGAATAAAAATTAATTAAAACCATATAAACTCATATATTATGTACCCTTTTCTCTTTAGTAAGTTTAGTTACATGATAATTGATTAAAATTAAGTGTTAGCGATACAAACAATTATAATATTTAAAATAAATATCATATATATACATATATATATACATTAATAAATATATTGGAAAAAAACATTAAACAAAAATTAAAAATTAAAAATCTTAACAAAAATACGCACAACACAGCATAAACCGCTGTGTGTGTGTGTGCTAAGGTAAAACCAAAATTAGACAAACAATTAATTAATTATATTTAAAAAAAAAACATACATATATAATATTCATTATTTGTTACGATTATTTTTTGGAGTAATTAATTGGATAGATAATTTAAATATTTATTGATTACAAATAAAGAAAATTATTGAATAAAAATCAAAAATAGCGTTACGAACGTTTTATTTCTAGTAAAGGGCGCGCGCAGCGGTAAGTAGTACGAAAAAAGGTATTAATTTTTCAACCAATAGCATTCCTGCATATCTGCCAGTATAAGTTTTATTCATTATTTACCACAAATTTTTTAAAATAATTAATTGTTTTTTTTCTTTCCTCTGCTTGAACTCGACAGGAGGATAGCTTATCAGTTTGGAATCGCACTGCCACGGATCACACGAGTACGACACGTATCCGCGATACGCTACGTCGAATTTTGAACATACCTCTAACAACGGCAATGGAGTATAAGATACACTGTGATAGCCTTAAATATGTAGCAATGTAAGTATTGAAAAATTTTAACAAATTTTCCATTCGAATTTTTTATTGAAAAAGAATTTTTAAATAAAAATCAGAAGCGCCGCGCCCCACCTTGTTGTGGTCTTACGTATACGTTCATTATGTTAATATGAAAAACAAATTTATTTACGTTTCGGTGTCCTATGTCAACGAAACGAAATGAAATCGTTAATATTGAAACGCTCAAAACTCATACATTTTCAAACAATGGAGAAAATTAAACTAAAGAAAATAATAAATCGAAATAAATAAAATGAAAAACAGTATAATTAATTTAAATCAAACAAAAATTATAAATTAAATTAAGTAAAAATGAAATTAAATTTAATAAAACCAATTGAATTTAAATTAGATGAAATCGAATAAAAAATATGCATAAATAAAGAAAGATCCTCATAAAAATCCATTGGCCGTTCGGAGGCGGCTTAGAATAAACTGTCGATTCTTCATTTCGTGGGAAATTATAGTGTTACGATTTTGCTGAATCCACCTCGATGGTTTTCTGAATCCTTCGGGTACGATCTCTGGATTGTTAAATAAAACTCGCCAACTTAATTTGCAGTTTCTTTCGTTACAAAGAATTAATCTAATGTCCTTTATTTACTCAGTAATTCAAAATTCAATTACAATGCACTTTACTATTTACAACCAGTAGCATCAACTTTCACAATTTACTCTACTTAAATGTAATCTCTAACGCGTTTACTCCGCTATACTCAATGTTAGCGCCAACGAGTTCACTTTGTAACTAACTTGACTTGGCAGCTGAGTGTCGCCCTTATATAGCAGTCGGCTGCTCGTAGACGAACGTGTAGTATATTTGAGTTGTTCGCTATCGAAGGTTTTCGTTTTATCGTTTCTAGAATGTACTAGTTATCGGCTTCTCTCTTTCATCTGACATTCGCATCGCATTTTCGCAACAATAGTAAAATAAAATAAAACTAAAAAAAAAAATAAATAAACGAAATTAAATTATATTAATTTAAATAGTATATAATAAATTAAAACTAAAATAAGTAAGGCAAACAAAATTAAATTAAATAAAATATTTAGTTAAATTTAAAATTAAATTGAATTAAACTTCATAATAAAAAAAAAAATAAAAAATAAAGGAAACAAATTAAAAAAATAGAAAAAAAATAAAATAAAAAAGGTAATTTAATTTTAATGTACAGAAATGGAATAATTGAGAATGAAATTGAATTATTGAATAGAAAATAAATCTTAAATATAAAAAAGCTGTAAAATACAATAACGTTAAACGTAATCAAATCAAATGAAATTAAATTAAATTCATTAAATTAATTTAAATTATAAATAGCGGATGGCCCACGGCAGGGAATATCAAGGCCTCTGAGTGTATTCTGACATGAATCAAAAGATCCCCATAAAAAACCAGCGGCCATTCGGAGGCGGCTTAGTATGAACGCACAACACAAGTTGGAGGCTTCAGCGGCCATAAAGCGCCAATTATATTTATATTAATATATATATGTATATATATATATATGTGTATGGGTGGGTGTGTGTGTGTATAGTTAAAAACATTTATCCTGCTTCAAATGATGAATCTTTTATCAACTACAAAAAATTATTTTCACTCACTGCCTTTTTCCTTATGCTTATTTTCTTATTTTCAGTAATAAAGGCCCTTTGAAAAGCTGAAATTCAGTAAATACGTTCAACGCAACAAAAATAAAAACAATTGCAGATGACGCGAAGGAGTATGCAGATAGTGAAGACAACAACAGTGGTAAAAGTAATGGCAACATCAATAATGCAGTCAACGGTACTAATAGCAGCAGTAGCAATATCAATATCACCATGAACAATATCAATACCAATAACAGCAATAACTACAACAGCTATAACAACCACAAAGACAAATTTAACGGCAACAACTATTTATACAAACTTAATAACGATATCTAAATACAAATACTAATAAAAAAAAAAATAGCATGAAAATGCTATATAAATCCTAACCTCTAACAGCCAAAAAAGTTAGACAAAATTCGCAAATTCGGCGAAATAAACTCATACATACATACATATGTGTATGTATAATTAGCAGCTAAAGCTTGAAATTTATTAAATTGTAAAATAAAAATCCGTAAACCTCCGTTTGAAAGGCAAAAGAAACATTTATAACAGTGCATTATATAAGTAAAAAGAAAATATGTAATTTATATAGAAATGAACGAAAAATAGTGCTTTAACCGATAAACAAGAAGTGACAGGTAGTGGCGGTGCTGCTGGCAGTAGCACTGCGCTACATCCAACCTCAAATTGAGCATTAACCTCAACTCAAACCAACACATACTCACATACATGTGTATGTGTATACTTACAGAAAGGCTTATTTGTTTATATATGTACATATGTACATGTTTCAGATTAAGCAAACAACAACTATTCACAACTTATCACAGTAACGCTTACATACTCAACAATATGTATATGTATATGTAATTATAAAGTCTGTTGTTGCCATGTAAATGCATTAATATGAGAAAATAACGCTATTATTAAGTACTATTTGTATATTTCATTTGTCATCTGTGCGTTCAAATGTTGTACGCAAAATTGTTTTTAATTAATAATCATTTTTGAAATTATTCTCTGAAATTCGGTTTTATTTTCATTTAAATCCCCACAAAAAAAAAGTTGACACCCACCCACACAAGGAAAGAAATCCAAAAATATGCTGAAGAATGTTAACACACCAACAATAATACATATGTACATACAAACATTCATACATACATATGTAGATACATATGTACATGCAAATAAATGAATACATAAACTATTGTATGTAATTTATTGAGAACTTCCTTTCCCAACCAAGAAAAAACTGGAAAACAAATACATACATACATATATAAAATACATAATAAACGAAGAATGAACAGTTATAAAAAGATTTAATAAAAAGTTATTAAAGTTGCGAAAAATAAAAATAAAAACACGAGTTTAAAGTAATTTTATAAAATATTTCAAATACCTTTTATTCTTATAGATTTTTATAATTACCGCTTTGTAACCCTGAAGCGATTTTTGGCCGAGCTCCTCCTCCTGTTCGTGGTATGCGTGTTCTGAAGCCAAACAATTGGTATACAAACCTCAAAACTAATTAAAAATAGCGCGCCATTTATTCCTTCTTCTCGCTGTTTGAGACCAGGTCCTACTCTATACGGTCTTTCCAACGAAGTGGAGGTCTTCTGCTTCCTATGCTCCTACCGGGGGTACTGCATCGAAAACTTTCAAAGCTGAATTTTTCTTCCGCGTATCCGTACGGCTCATTATTTCACCGGTTGCGGTGCTCGCCGTCGCCTATGTGTAGAGGAACAGAAGTCTCAACCAAAACCTTTCTCCCAAAAGTCTTCCAACATCAACTCATCTCTTGTTGTCATCGTTCACGCTTCTGAACCATATAGCAGAACGTGAACCTTGAGCGACTTGTAGAGTTGGCTTTTGTTTATCGAGACAGAACCTTATTTTACTTTTCTTCCCAGTCTAAAGTAGCACCTGTTGGTAAGAGTGTTTCTACCTTATCTACGACTTCTTTAGTTATGACAGTCAACAGTGACGTTAGAGCCGTATTGCAAATTCGATGACTCATTATTTGATGACAGAAGATATTTCGTCGTGCCCTCGATCACTACCACATTCATAGTCTTCGCTTATTTATCAAGTCTGAAGAGATCAGAAATCACAATGCGGTTGTAGAGTCCAACGATGTTAATATCATCGGCGTACCCAAGCAGCTGTACACTTTTATAGAAGATTGTGCCTTCTATAGTCAGATTTACAGTACGTTTTTACCCCGGCAACAGTTTAACGGAGTCACACAATAGGGAATCTCCTTGTCTCAAACCTTGTTTGGTACCGAACGGCTCGGACAGCTTTTGGTGTTGCTTATCTTTAGCTTATTTTTAGGGGATAACAAGTTTTGGCCTAGTGGCGTAAAGACAACTCCTGCCTCTTGCTGTCGAAGGAGGACGTGTTTGTTCGTTCCTGTTTTGACGGAACTTTTCCAAGATTTAACGCATGGTGAATGGTGGATTTATCAAATCTAAAGCCACCTGATAAGATCCAAACAGTTTCTTGACTGTGCGCTTTAGTCTTTCACACAATATATACCTGAACATATATGTTGGCTCCTATTTTTTGTGGATTGGTCAGAGCACACTTAAATTCCAATCGTCAGACATATGTATGTTCAACCGACCATATTTTGCAAAAAAAAAAATCCGTATTTTACTCGACCGGCATTCCTTCCGCCGCTTTGTCGTTTTTCAAGCGAACGGTTGCGACTTTAACTTCTTCAGAGGGTTGCAATGAAACATCTGTCCTGTTCTCGAGAAGTTGTTTCTACATAAATTAAGTGTACTCTGGGCATGAGCCGCTAGATCATCCCTCAGGATCCCACAAGAGGTTGCTCAAATCTTGAAACCTCATTTAAGTCGCGGTTTTTTAGAAGGATCACAGGAACTTTCGGATATCGGAAACCATCCCGAACAAACTGACGGACCAACCCAAGTTAAATTCCTCAGTCGTTACTGCAGGTTAAATTCCAGTAACCAAAAGACAGTTTCAACGGCGGATTTAGAAAAAGAGGAGGTGTTTTGCACAACAATTTATTATTACACATCCACTTATCATTTGTGTTTCTGATTGGCGTACTCACATCAAACTCATTTCAGATACGAAAAAGTCCTGAAGTCGCCAGAGCTTAACTTGCGCAACGAAACATCTATGCTACGAGTTAAGGAGTGTAATGCTTTGCTGGGCAAGAAATTCCTGCCACAATAGACACTTACATCAGAGAGGGAGTATGGGACCTTAAGGACTGCATTCAACACCACCTACAACAACCATTAAACGCTATTCACCGAGGGTCCATCAAAACCTTCTTGAACTATCTTCCACCACCCATTGCAGACGAAGAGCTCGAAATGTCTCGGAGAGTCCTGCGTTTTACTGGCATATCTTTGATCTGGACAATGTAGTAGACAAAACTTTTACTTCCTTGCATCCCCCAAAAACCAACTCATCTAAGTCATCGAGGTCATCTAACGGTAGGTCCAGGAAACGGACTATTTCCAGGAGTTGACCCGGAGTTTATCTGCTTAAGGGCTGGCTAACTTTTTGCTACCTAATCCCGTTCAGGTCAACAGGTAAAATTAATCTAAGGCGCTGAGGATACTGGCTTATAGATCATATCATGTTCCTGAATTTTGGGCCATGGGTGTGATTTTTTCCTAAAAATAAATAGTGCCTTAAAGGTCCGTCGTTTTACAAGTCGTATATGACATTAGGGCCAGGTTCCTCTGAAAAATTTTCAAAAAATCGAAAATTGCTAGAAAATACTCAGAGAAAAAATATAGTATTAGTACCGAAGGTCCGCAAGACTAAGAAGTAAGTATAGAAGAGGGCAGAGCGAAGTGCCAAACGGTAAATCCGGCCAAACAAATACTTTAATCGCCTTTTTCTCAATTGGGTGACACTCTTATTTAGAACCTAGTCTATAAAACTTAATGTAGACTATTTGTGGTATCCATCTTTATATTTTTTCCAGCACATGAAGGGGCCGAGAGTTTTTTCTAAGCTATTTCCGCACAGCTGATGGTTTTTTATGCGGTTTTTTTTTCAAAAATACACTGCAATGGTTTGACGTACCCTGTCTTAGACAGAAGAAGATGAAAATATCTAGGAGACAAATGAGCAAAATGAGAAGTCTTTTTGGGATAATTAGTAATAAGAATCAGAGCGTACAATATACTATCTGTCTTTGTATATTAAAACATTTCGCATACTATTTACTTATTTCATTTATGATTAATTAATGCGTTAATTCCTTTTGGTTGGTATGGTTTGTAAAAGTATACATGTTTAAGATGAAAATAAATTTATTTTAATTTAATATTTATTTTAACACTTTGTCGTAGTAAAATGTACAACTTTTACTAAATTACGTTTGGTTCTTAGGTCAAAATATATATGTATGTGTGTAAGGAAAAATAATGGAACAAACATGACGTTACTTGTCATCGAAAACGCTCAAATCAAAGAGATAAACATTCGATATTAAACAATCGCCCTCCTGTATAGGAAAAAAAGAGTTAATAATTATAAATAAACATAATGTCTGAATATTACCGCCGGTGTTATGCCCACTAAGGCATCAGCGTGGCCATAGAATTCTTCTTTCAACGAAATGACGATAGTTTGCAGATTATTTGTATGATCGCGTATATACGATGCCACTTTGCCGATGTTCGTATTATCGAGCGCCGCATCGATTTCATCGAGCACAAAGAACGGTGCCGGTTGATAACTGCGTACAAAATTTTAGAAATATAGTCAAATCGGAAAATATTTCAAAAAAAAAAACACAATAAGTTAAAATCAATATATAAAAAATAATATAAAAAGTAAAAAATATATAAAAAGCTGAAATAAAAGATAAAAGATAATATAAAATAACAGGAAAGAATAAAAAATTATAAAAAAAGTTAAAAAATAACAATTATAATAAATTATTAGAAAAAATATAAAAGCATGAAAAATAAAAAATAAATTAAATAAATAAAAAATAAATAAATAAAAATAATAAAAAACAACATTAAAAAATTAAAATAATAAAAAAAATAAAATATTATAAAAATAGATATAAAAATAATAAAAAATATAAAAAAATAAAAAATGATATAAAATATTAGCAAAAATATAAAAATATAAACAATAAAAAATAAATTAAAAAATAAAAGTAATACAAAAAAAAAATAAAAAATATTATAAAAAATAAAAAATAATATAATATAAAAAATAAAAAATAATATAATATAAAAAATAATTAAAAAAATAAAAATTAATATTAAAAAATATAAAATAATATAAACATGAAAATAAATTAAATTATATAAATTAAAAATAAAATAATATTGATAGCTGTGCACAAAATTTTAGAAATATAGTTAATCGAAAAAACACAATAAGCTAATATTAAAATATAAAAAAAACAATACAAAAAATAATATAAAATATAAAAATAATATAAAAATAATTAAAACAAATAAAAAATTATATAAAAAGATATTAAAACAAAAAATATATAAAAAGTGACATAAAAAATATAAAATAATAAAAAAAAATAAAATTTTGAAAAAATTAAAAAAAAAAATTTAAAAATGATATAAAAAAAATTAAAAAAAATAATAAAAAAATAAAAAATAACATTAAAAAATATTACATAAAAAAAATAAAAATAGCATTAAAAATATTAAATAAAAAAAAATTACATTAAAAAACATAAAATAATAAAATAATAAGAAAATGAAAATTATAAAAAAATAAAAAATTTATCATAAAAAAAAAATATAAACAATAAAAAATAAATTAAAAAAATAAAAATCTTATAAAACATAAAAAGTAATATAATAAAAATTTATTTAAAAAAAATTAAATATTAAATAAGATGTAAAATTACAAATATATAAAAACAACCATGAACAATTCACGCCATTTCAGTTATACCTGTGTATGGAGAAAAGCAATGCGAGTGCCGCAATCGTTTTCTCACCACCACTCAAATTACTCATCGGCTGGAAACGTTTTCCGGGCGCTACACAATTGTAATTAATACCATCCAAGTACGGTTCTTCCGGATTATCCGGTCCGAGATATGCCTGAGCCGCTTCATTACGTGCTAAGCTTTTATATATGCCATCAATTGCATCGGATATGTGATTACAGCATTGAATAAATTTCTCTGATCGTTCATTTTTCACCTTCTCAAAGGACGACTTTGCTTTTTTTGCTTTGCGTCGAGCATTTTCGAATTCTTCATTGGTGGATTGTATCTTTTCGGTGACAAGTGATAACTTTTGCATCGCTTTCATGTTTGGCGTTTGTATACGTTCAAGTACATCGAGTTTCGCTTGTAAATCCTTCTGCAATTGATCATTCATTTTCTTAAAAGACGAATCATCTTTGAGTTTACAAATTTCACGTGGTAAGCTGCTGTAATTGACCTCAATTCTGTTCGGGAAATAATGTATAAAATATTAATTATTACGTGGGCGAGAAACAAGAGAGCAATGGTTGTATATTTACTGATTTTCACGCTCCAAGATGAGTGAAGTTGATGTTGTATTTGTTTCTGAATCGCCTTGGCGCACTGCATCATCGAGAGAACCCTTAAGCAATGGTACAGCTATACAATCCATCTATAGGGAAGAGAAGGAATATTAACATTAAATCATTTTCGTTAATCTTTTGCATTTAGTGATAAATTACCTTCGCCTGCATTAGAATATTATGACGCTCATTCTTTTTCGTTTCAATTTTCGCCTCTATGGAGGAAATTTGACTTCCTAAATTGTGTATTTCCTTAGCTAAATTTGATACATCGCGCCTAGCTTTGGAAATATCTTCCTCCATATCGTCAGCTGCTTGCTTTTTAGCCTGTTTTCCTTGCTTCAACTTTTCCATTTTCTCTTTATCATCATCTATTTCTTTAAGGTAACGTTTCTCTGCCGCTTTTAAGTCTTCAAGTGCGTCCTCTTCATCTTGCACGGCACGCTCCCAACGCTCCAAATTTCCTGTTGTAATTTATAGTTATACAATAATATTTCACCGATTATTTGTTCTTTTAATAATTACTTTTAGTATCTTTTTGCTTTTCAAAATCTAATTGTGTATTGACTGCATCAATTTGCTGTTCAAATTCTGCACGTTTACGTGCGCGTTCCTGTTGCATAACAAGCTCACGCTCCTCATATTGACGTATATTTTGTACACCCAAACGTTTGCAAAAGGACGCGAAAACTTTATCCTCAACATTATTCATATTCTCTTTTATTTCCTGAATATGTTGATCTCGCTTCAGCATACGTCGTTCAATTTCACTTATTTTGGGCTAAAATTATTTTTAATATTTGAAATATCAATATTTTCACTTGAAAAGGGAACTCTTACACCGAATTCATCCAATTGACTTTGAACCATCTTAAGTTGATTATCAAATTGTTGTATAGATTTTTTCGATGATTCCATATCTACCATACTATATTTAAGTCGGTTCTCCAAGCCCTTTAAAAAAAAAACATAGTTTTTATCGAACTAGACAACAGAATTTATAAAGACTTTTTACCTTTATTTGGGACTCTACTGTCGCGAGTTCGCTTTGTTTACGTGATTTTTTCACCAACTCCTTGAGCTCCTCGTTTAATTTATCTTTTTCCATTTTCAATTGCGCCATATGCTTTTCATCCCAACGCTTGGCTTTGCGTGCCAAATCATGACTGCCGCCGGAGAGGATACCAGATTTCTGGTAGAAAGTGCCATCTAAAGCGAGAGCATCATAGCGTGTTCTATCAATTTCGTAAGCAACTTTCATAGCATCCTCCGGTGTTTCGCAGACCAAAGCGTTATTTGTTGCAAAGAGCACCGCACGTTCTATTTCCGGCGGTTCAAATTTCAATACATCAAACACCAGTTTAACATTACGCGGTTCGGTGATGTTTCTGTGTGATAGGAAAATCAATTAAAGACGCAATTAATAATTATTATATAATTACATACCGCAAACGCTCTTTGAGTGGTTTAACTTGTAGATAATCTAACGGTAAAAACGTTTCAACTTCCAACATTTCCTCTTTCAAAATCTAATTAGATATATATTTTTTATTTAGATGTAAAACTAATTTAAAGCAAATTTAATTATATTTCCATTAATAACCTGTATACAATGTCGAGCGGTTTTCTCTGTATCAACAATAATGGCTTCCATATATTTACCCAAAACTTTTGTTACTGCGACATTATAACGTTTATGCGTTGGTTGGCACATATTTATCATACGATCATACTGCAACAAAGAAGGTATATTATGTACAAATACAAAATAATTTAAAACATATGCAGTTTCAATAACTCACCACACCCGGCACTTGTTTCTTAAATAGCTCAACCACTTGTTGCTTTTTCTTGCGATGCACATCCTCGTGCTTGTCACTTTTCGCATCACCCAATTGATCGCGTACATTTTCCAATTCACGTTGCTTTTCGGCAATCTTCTCTTTGGAACAACCGACATCCCGCCTCAGTTCATCTTTAATGCGATTTTGTTCTTCCAGTGCCGCCTGTGACGATTTGATATGATCCATTAGTTTGTCGCGTCGTTTTACAGCCTCTTCACGTTGTAGGGTTAACTTTTTCAGTGATTCCTCTACGGAAGCTTTTCGATTAGCTTCGCCATCTAGCATGTCTTGATCGGATTTCTGTTCCCGATTCACAGAATCTAATTGTGAACGATACTGGGTAGCTGTGGCTTCCGCTTGTTGTTTAAGACGATCATATTCTTGTACTAACCCTTCCTCCATTGTGACGCTTTTACCGCGACGCTGAGACTCATTCTCGAGATCATCTTCGTAACGTTTTTTTAATTTTTCCACGTCCGCCAATTGTTTTTCCAATTTGTTTATGTCTTGTTGATGTGCGTTATCCGCTTCTCGAGCTGTTTCTAGTGTTTTCTGTAGGGACGCTAACTTTTTTTGACAATGTACGACTTTTTCTTTTGCTTTGATATACAGTGGGCGTTTTTTGTTCATTTGCGTTTCGAATTCACGAATTTCCTGCTCGTATTTAGCCAATTCGCGAGAAAACTTTCCTGCGTCTTTCTTTTTCTCGCGCAATACCTCATCAGCTTGCTCTTTACGAGCCTCTACAGCTTTAACATCTTGTTGTTTAGATTCCAAGTCATGATTTAGCTTTTTAATATCGTTTTCAACATGATAAAGTCGAAACAATTGGTATTCTACTTGCTTTTCATTCTAAATAATTACAAAGAATCATTTGTTTTTGTTTTATGTTTTTTACCAAATATTATTACTTACATATTCATTTTTTAGACGAGCATAACGCTCTGCTTCCATTTTTTCATGCTTTGCTTCTTTTCGTTCGGCAGCCATACCTTTCTTCTTTTGATAGGTAAATTGCGTTTCTTCTTCCGCTAAGTTCATTTCTTGTTTCAAGCGATTATAATCTTCTTTAAGCAAACCGGAACTGAAAAATCATGTTTTTTATTCTATTTGAATACATAAATCAAAATAAATAATGATATCGAAATTATACCCGCTGATTTCCTCGAATAATGCCGTGCGCTCTTTCGGGGTTTTCATTGCTATATTCTCTACTGCTCCTTGGAAAACTAAAAAGTTTTTAGCTTTAACATTTATTCCCATTTTTTCCAGTTTACTTAAATAAGCACTGCTAGAAACATTCTATTTAAAAGAAAAAAAAAGTGAATAAAATTATTGCATATTATAATAATATTAACCGCCAAAATGTTAACCTCTCCATTGATGCGATATTCCGATGAACCACCGATTACAGCGCGTTGAAAATCCACTTGTATCTCGTCGTTGATAAGAAATTTCGCCGTAACATAGCAGCTACGTGATACTGGCTTGCCAATAGAAGATCCATGTATTAGATCATTAAGACGTTTCACGCGCAAACTAGAGGTTTTTTCCCCCATAACAAAACTAATAGCATCCATGAAATTTGATTTTCCTATTACAATGTGGTGTTATATTTAGTTAAATAGAAACAGTTTTTTAACATTATTTTGACTTTACCTGAACCATTAGGTCCAATTACAGCGGTGAACTTCTTTAGTGGGCCGACAATTACATGTCCTCTATAGGACTTAAAATTTTCCATCTCAATATACTGTAGGAAATATACATCATCTTTTGGCGCAGAGGCAACAGCCTCGTCCGCAACTTCGTCTTCCGTCATTATTGAACCCTCACTACAACTTTTTAGAGCCTTTATACGGAGATATTATAATCATAAATAACGAAACTATTTTATACAAATCATTTATGTTTTTGTACTGAAAAAGAAAAGACGCGGTGCTTTTCTTTATTCCTCTTTTCCACTTTTCATATCTCTTTTGACATACAAGATTTCTATTGTGAATAGACAGAATACACCCAGAGAACGTATAATAATGTATTTACGTTCTCTGATACACCCGAGCATTTAATTTACTTCTGTTAATGTAGATTTAATTTTAAAGTACTAAAAACAATATTCAATGATGAATTAATCCAGTGTGAATTAACGAAAGTTTTTTATTAAGAGAAAATCATAGCTTTTAGTCTTCTGATTGTGATTTTTCAATTAATCATAAAATCTTGCATCAATTATAGAATACTCTATACATACTGTGCATAAAGGCCTTGTTTTTGTTAATCAGAAAATATTTTTTCAGCATTAGCATTACATTGAAATTAAATTTAATTTTGTTTTTTAATAATTTTTTATTATTTCTTAAAATAATTTTATATAATGTGTAATTATAAATTTTGGATCCATTGTAAGTCTTTTGACACTTCTTCGCTGCTTTCAGGCTTATATGATTTTTTCTTTTTCTTTGGTGTCGCTTCTTGGTTTGCTAAAGTGCTTTCACTATGTGTTCTCTTTTGTTTCTTGGTCTTCACTTGGACTACGTGTTCTGAATTCTCATCTTCTGTATCACAAAGAATTATGTTATTTTCCTTAGTGTTCAAGTTTGGTTTAAACTTAGGTTTTTCTAAAGAGGTACTACCATTACTCTTTATATGTTTTCGTTTTGAAACCGCTTCTTGAAGTAATTTCGTAGATAACTCATCGGCCTTTTTCAGACGTTCTGAGATCGCTTTATCAATTTTTAAACTTTTGTCAAATTGATGGCCATGCAGTGGATGGCGAACCTTTATCATATCAGGAAATGGTACCTTTCCTGGTGGTGGACATAAAGTTTCTGCATTTTCCAATGTCACTGCTTCAGCTGTCTTTAAACGTCCTCGCATCAAAATATTTCCCTTTACAGGTAAGAGACGTAGCGAATAACGACCTTTGCGATTACAGTAGCCAAAGGCACGTGTTTCTGGTTCAGTAAATTCAACAGCAACCGCTTCTACTGAGTTGAAGCTAGAGCGTCCAGGAATTTTTAATTTCTGGCCGCGTATTTCTGATGCCATATCAAATCCTTTCGGGCATTGCAAAATCCAAACTTCATCCTCGACTTCATCAATGTCTTGAAATCCGCCAATCGTATTTATATCAAAACTTGATTTTATTTCCTTGTAGTCTGGATTATCTTCAAGAAAACGTTCTTTAACACTTATTGTATCCATTTCATATTAATCTCTTTCAATAAAAGCAAATTATAAAATTTTCTTCAAAACAACTTCACGTGCACAATGTGTTTATTATTCTCTTATACTCTATTTTCTACTGAACAGGGCTGTCAATGGTACAGATGGCTCATTCAAAATAAATATATCAAATAAATACATTTAAGGTTTTTTTCTATAAAATTAAGAAATGTTATTGGTTAATATAAATTTATTATCCTTTTCGTTTTGATATGGAATTTAATGAATGTCACTTTAATTTAAGGAAAATATAGTTCACAAATTTATAATAATTAACATTCGCAATGGATGACTTGGCAATAAAGGTAAATATTAGTGTTAGATAGAAAATGTCAGAAAATTGTGTACGTGTTGATAACAGATAACGTAAATACGTATTTACGTTCTCTGGTATTTGTATTTACGTTCTCTGAAATAAGGAGCAGCAAAAACAAGTGCAAAGACAAGAAAGGAAATTTTCAATTAATTTTTGGTTTTTGAAAATTTTTGAATTTTAATTTTTATTTTGTTAATCGTGTACACAAAGCGAAAAATATAGAATTGTGCTAGTGCTTACATTCCATACAACCAATTTGTCGTAAGTAATTCAAGTGTGGCGTGAAATTTATTTGTTTGGATGATATTTGACTACGGGCGCTTCTGTAGCTATTCTTGAATTGTGCAATATTTTTCTTTTTATTTGCACCAACAAATATCAAATTGTCCTACTTTTTGCATTAATGTATTAATGCACACTTATAATCGAAAATAAAACCGTACAACCTTAAATTTACATTATTTACTCAACAGTTGTGTATAAAACATATAACTAGAATAAGATCACCGCACACTGTAGTTATAATATTGTGAATATCTGCCGAATATCGAATTTGTTTACGTAACCTACTCTTCCAAACCATGAACTTATCATCAACTTCCAATCGTGACATGTCTCGAGGTGACTCCCAATCGCCACCACAAACAGCAAGAAGTAAAGGTAGCAATTCTACGTTTGGCCTTCTTAATGACACAACACTTGGCAGTAGTAGCATATATGATAGCGCTTTAGAAAATCTCACCACTTATGCTTCATTCGACGGTACGTATTTTTTAATCATACTACAAGTATATTTCATAGTCATTATTTGCTTTTCAGAAAGTGCCAATAACAATTCACAACTTAACATATCCACCGATACAACATTGAATGGCAGCGATTCACATCGTAGTAACATATCCACCGGTTCTTGCAGTTCAACTGCTGCTCGTGATTTGAATACGAACATCAGCGCCAGTATGCTGCTAATACAATCAGAAAGCACCGAGACAAATACATCGCAAGACGAAGTTGATCCAAAATCCCAACTAGCAAATAAGACAATATTTAAAACGGATAATCCGAATTTGTCAATTATAGAAATTAGTAATAACTCAATTAAAGAGGAAGATCAGGAAAATTCCGTGGTCGTAATAGGATCACCATCTGATGATGAATGCGATAATAAGCAAAAGATGTCACCACTTAGTGATGCTGCTATAGCTGCAGCAGCAGCTGAGAAGCGACGGAGGAAGGCCGAATCTTTGATAAAATCCAGTAAGCAAACATTAAATTTGGATATAGTTGAAGCTTCCGCTAGCGAAGAAAATACCACTGAAGTAGGCAGATGTGAAAACAATGGCAATATTGAAATAGAGGGAAACGAATTGTTACCAAGCACTAAACGTGATATTAAGATATACGAAACAATTGAAGAGTTCGATAAAAACTTGCCGTCGACAGTAACAGTGCTGGACACGCCATTTGGCAGCAAGGTATATTTGGTGGGCACTGCACACTTCAGCGAGGAGTCGCAGGATGATGTTTCATATGTAAGTAGAAGAGGAAAGTATTAAATCGATTTCATATAATACACAATGTTAATATACTTAGGTTATACGCAATGTCCGTCCAGATGTGGTAATGGTAGAACTATGTCCATCCCGTGTACATATACTGAAACTAGACGAAAAAACGCTGCTAGAAGAAGCTAAAAACTTTAATTTCGCTAAGGTATTTTGAAGTCATTACTCACATTTTAATTGAAAACATTATGAGTTTTTATACAACTTTACAGATACGGAGTATAATTCAGACGCACGGCTACATTAATGGAATTTTCTTTATTTTACTACTACAAATGAGCGCACAAATTGCCAAAGACTTGGGCATGGCGCCGGGTGGTGAATTTCGTCGCGCTTTCGAAGAAATTCACAGACTACCCGGCTGTATGCTACATCTCGGTGACAGACCGATACGCATTACATTACACCGAGCATTACATGCGCTCTCATTTTTCCAAACTCTAAAGCTGGTATTTCGCCTATGCTGCACCGACACCATAAGCATAGAAGAAGTGGAAGAATGTAAGCAGCGCGACTTGCTTGAAAAATTAATGCAGGAAATGGCCGGTGAATTTCCAGCATTTTCTGATGTTTTTGTTAAGGAGCGCGACCTTTACCTTTGTCATTCCTTGCAGTTGGCTGCATTACCACAAGCATCTAACGATGGTTCAGGTATACCGCGGCCAGTGCGTGTCGTTGGTGTTGTAGGTCAGTAATCTACTATCTTTACTGTTATTTTCAAAAAAGAAAACCTATTTTAATTCTTTTTATTTTCGTTTATAGGAATTGGTCATGCTAAAGGTATTGCTGAAAAGTGGGGACGTGTAGATCCCCAGATGATACCGAAAATTATGGAAATTCCTCGAACTCGTATAGGTTTCCGAATTTTCAGGTCAACAGTAAGATATGGTACTGCCGGCCTGATATTATTTTACCTATACAAAAACTTCCGGCCACGAATACCGCGCTTCTTTTAATTGATTTTCACTTATGCTGTAAACTATGTAAACATGTATAAAGGAGCGATCATATTATTTTCCTCCCCATTATGAAAATCGTTATCCATTTATATTAACAAAGCGTGCAAACATGAAACAAACATTTTTGTATACACGTGTAGTTGTTTTAATGTGCATCATATCAAATTTTAAAGTAGTTAATTTTTCAGCATAATTGTGTGCTTGAGTGTCTGTAATCAATGAGAAAATCGTTGAATAAAGCGTTTATTGTGTACTCACCTTAGATTGACTGTCTATATTTATGTGTTCGTGTGCATCACTATTATATACTTCTGTACGTATATTAAACAATCGTATGTGTATTACATTAAATCGCACAATACTTTATGTAGAAATAGAAGAAGAAGAAGAGGAAGTAGAGGATTTTTCAATACAGCAAACTAAAAATTCAATGAAAACTCTAGCAACTTTTCTCAACAAGAGCCTTTGTAAATAAAATTAAAAATATGTGCAGGTATGAAAAACTATAGAGAATTAATTAATGGTAAAAAAAGCAAAATGTTGATTAGCTAACAAAACAATAATACCTTGGAAAGACTAGATTACAGTTTAAAAAATCGGATATCTTACGTCGTTAGTACATTCCCAGCAGTAAATAAAGTCGCCATCGTTCTTTTAATGTAAACCCACCACAAAAACGATGAAATCAATGTAGAGTTATAGACATTATAATACAAAAAAAAAGATATAATTTTAATCGTTAAGTGAAATGTGCACATAGATATATGCCTGTGTATGTATTGTAAAAATGTCTAAATACAAAATGGTTTAGCAAAACTTGATGACTTCATTTTTATCTTTGAACAAAAGAATTATGGTTGCAGCAAGGTATGTATGTATGCATATCGTAGCTTTTCCATTTGAAATTAAGTTCATTCTTGGTCACTCTAGCATTCACGATGTATTTTCCGAACAACAATGCATTGACAAATCTGGTTAATCGTAAAACTTTCATTTCCCCTATTTCAGTCACGACCCATACAAAATGCGACAGAAAGCTTTAGCATTACTCTTCAAATTATCTTGATTATATACTAAGAGTTCCGCTTGAAAGAGTGTATAGTGACGCGGCAGGTAATGGATTTACTTATTTTGTTACCTTTTGAATAAATACCACTACCGATGTTGTCCCCACAGTTGTGATTAAATCGATTAGATATGTATGCACCTGCAAATATTCATTATTTCCTGTAACAATACACCACTTTGTTATCTTTCACGAAGACAGGCAGACAGTGGTCACTCCTCTACCATAGATAAAACTTCATTAATATGGTGGTATGAACAGTTTAGTCGCCCGTCAGATTCCCTCTAGATTTCACTACATCATAGGTGCCGTAATTATCAGTGAAGAGCTCCTCGAATAATTATTCCATTAATAAATAATTGAACTCCTTACAAAGAAAAAAATAAAAAATAAATAAATAAAACAAGTTCCATCAGTTATGTTCTTTTACTATATTTATTCAATTATAGATTCGGCCACATTAAAATTTTATTTATTTTTGTATGTTAAAAAATTATTAGAAATTAATTTAAGTAAAAATTTTAAGCCAGAGTTTTAAGGGTACGTATTTTTGTATGTATGCCAACATTTGCATATTAACGTATTTTAATTTCATTCGTTTTAAATTATCTTAAGATTCAAAGACGAGTGAACCCGATGCATAACTAACGCTCGAATCCATATCCACATCTTTGCATTGACTGCTCTGGGCATATTTGAGAAATTTAAAGCTCATATTATTATAACCTTGGTGTTGTAAAGCTTTTACGGCGTTAAGCATGACACCTATTGGATGACGTCCACAAATGGTATTATTGTACTTTCGCAGATATTCAGTAAATGCATTTGGATTAAGTGTCTCAATTATGGCCATACCCTGGTAGAAAAAATGTAGTTTAAAAAAAAAAAAACATTTAATTCAAACGCATCAATTTCATACGTATCAATTAATTACAATACTTACATCCTTGTCAAGTTTTTCTATAGACGCGTAAATTGGGCCGCAAGATCGATCGTAGTGGGTATAATTAAAGCGATGACCCCAGTGACAAAAGTCCGATGATATCACAAATAGATTTTGTGGATCAGTAAAATAACTTGCTAAAATATTTCCGTATAAAGCTTCCTGCTCGGGGTTCAAGGAACCGACTAAAATTGGCACGATCGTGAATTGATCTTTGAAGCTGAAATTTATTGGTTAAAAAGCCGTTGATAAATAATAATTTTTTATAAACTTACTCCTCCATTACTTTTGCTATATATGGCAAGTGCATTTCGATACTATGTTCATCTTCGTCTGTTTTCATATCCATCCTAGAAAAATTTCCAGTCTTTTCCAGCTGGTCGTTGACTATTATGGTAGAAATATAAATATTATTCGCGGAGAATTCACACAAATACAATACATACTTTGAGTATCAATTTTGAGATCATAAAGAGGAGTTTTGTATGTTTTTGCGGTGGATAGGGCACAGCCCCTCAAGCGTACATGATGCGATGGACCCAATATGAAAACTCGCTTGCTGTATAATGGAATAATTAAATGTGTTTATGGAAATGTGGTAAAAATTATTAGGCTTACACAACGGCAGGACTGACTTGTCGATATGCAAAGGCACCACAAGCACCACAGTAGGTATAGCCGGCATGTCTGTAAATAATAAGTCATAAGCATTTATTTTGGTTTGTATTTATATATTTATTAACTTACGGCGCAATGATTGCACGAGCTGGACCATGCGAAAGTTCAGCAGCACTCAACCAACGATCCAGTTGACGTGATAATTCCGGACCTATAAATTTTAATTTTGAATTAAGTTTATGTTAATATATGTATGTTCATAAGTATATTCAGAGGAGGAAAATTCCCAATTTTTAATAAGGACTATGTTTCTGATAAAACTTCGGTAAATATTGCAGTTAAAATGAGAAAAAATCTCCACACATAAAAGTTCTACTGGTTTTCCTAAAAACTATAACGTGGAAGAAATAATATAAAAAAAAAAAACATTTCAATCCAAAACAAGTTCAGGAGAACTCAGAGAAATTAAATTACAGCATAAAAAAGAGATGTTGCCCATATGTTCCTTAAAGAAAATTAGATATTTCCAAAAAAATACGCCCGTAAATGTCTCGTATAGCAACCAGTTCGATTCTATACTTTCCCTAGCAATGAGTTTGTTTATAACACATTTGGCTTTGTAAAGCGAAAAAATAACAATACATTTTAAATTTATTACGAAAAAATCGATAAACACACTTTTGTTAATATTTGTTAAATATAAAACATAATGGCTGATGGTGATAATTCAAATGCTCTTTACGATATTATTCGTAAGGAGCTCAACTTAATAATCAGTGATGGCGAGTAAGTAAGAGAATACTGAAGTTTACCAACGCCAGTCGTATATAAGAGCATTATTATTATTATTATATCTGCTTTACAGCACGTCTACGAAAAATATTCATTCGGCAAGAATTGCAAAGAATAAATTTGAGGATGATAAATGTCTTAAGCAACAAGAGACTACCGAGGTTACTGACAATTTAATTAATTATTCAGACACTTTCAAGGAGGTACCGTCCGCTAGGGAACATCTTTCCACGCTCCTCTCAAGCAAAATTTTACAGTTACCTTCTAATGAAGCCCCAGGTGCCGCAATTGACACTGATCTTCAAAAAATGCGCTTCGACTTGCAACAAAGCTACGAGCTCTTTCAGGCAATGGGTGAACGATTTCAAGCTATTAATTTTCGTTCACTCAAACGTCGTATTAAAGATATGAACTTGAACAAAAGTGATCGATCAAGTAAATTAGAACAAGAAGTTAAGGATGTGTTGAAAAAGCACTATGACGATAACACACTGAGCAGCTTAACAACTGAGATGGGCGTTAGGTTTCAACAGCATCCAGGCGAGTTTGGCAATATACCCGAATTGAGTGAGTTTTTTCAAACTTGCACGCAATTACAACACGGTTTAGAACAAATAAAGCGACAGCGACAATCCGTTAGTAAATTAACGAAACGTATAACTAATGCTACGGAAGCTTCATACAAGCGTATCGATCATATTCATTCCATTATGAGCACCAGAAAATCGGGCAAATGATCATTACAAAAGGACTAATGTAAAAATCTAATTTCCTTGTCTTATATAAATTTATACATTCATACATATACATATATTGGAAAACTTTTTTGAAAACATATATGCTTATATGAATTATTTTTTTTTTTTTTGTATTTAACTTATGAGGTAAACTGTGGTTTTGGAGCTTAGGAGCTAACTTTTTGTAACCCACATCAATTTTTATTTACATTAATTGAATGCCCGTTTAAGCTATAGAATTTGAATAATCATTTCTGAGAATTGACTACACAAAAACATACATATGTTCATTTGTTTTAAACAAAGGTTGGACTCTCTGGCATAAATAAGTATGTAGGCTTCATTCAAGAGCTTAAGACCAGGTAGCGAATAAACGCTAAACAAAATAGTATAACAAACATACATATACATATGTATGTACACATAAATGTATGCACATATACATATTTTCATTGACCCCATGCATTGCTCTGATAACAATAATTCTCAGATTTATTTATATTATTTATAATTGCATGTTTGGCCTCAAATGGTAAGTAATTTTATTTGCTGACTCATCTATCTAACGAAGAATATACTTTCTTTCAAGTTGCAGTCAATTCTTGGGGTACAATATATACATATGCTAACAAAATAACTTCACACAATGTTTACCTAAGTTGGTATACCAGCTTCCAGAATGGGTTGCTCTTCTGACTGTAGACATTATTATTACTCCAAGTTATATTTTATTTTAAATATATACAATTGCAGGATCACTTTATTAATTAAAATAAAAAATAAAACTTAACAGTCGATGTAAAATACTATACAGCAATAACTTCCTCAATTGAGTTGACAAGTCGAATGTGAACATAAGAAAATTATCAGCCATTCCTTTTCGTTGCATTCTTATCAAAAGAAATAGACGATTTCAATGAATGAGATATTCACAATAGAAAGTTTCCAGGGTTGCAACGAAAAAAGTATGATAAATAAATACATGCATGCATTTCATTCAAAATTGGTTACATAGATAAATAAATGCATGCATGCATTTCATTCAAAATTGTTTACATAGAGATGTACATTAAAAGTTACAAATTACAATCATATAAGAAATCTGATCCGTTATTGAATGATTTGTTCTAAAAATATTATTTTTATGAGCACAAAGCATTCGATTGATAATAATTTAAAAAAATTACAGTACAAGCGGAAAGGACCATTTTAATAAATTGGTGCTTCATAAACGTCAAATGGATGAACATATTTATATCCTACTTATTAACAACATCCAATTTACGGTTTTAGGCTGATTTCGAAAATTTGATTGATTTCTTGAACAAACCATTATTGGTGTATGTATTAAATCAATATTGTACTGGTAGTTGTTATTGCCACTCCCTGATGAATGCCGATTGTTCGAGATAAATCTTATTCTATATTTATGTGCGTTTTTCTGGTCTTATCTTAAACTCACTCGACTACTCTAGCCGTTAATGGTTAAACAATCCAGTAAATCGAAGTTGTCATATGAAGTAACTTATTTTAATTACGTCCATAATAAGTTATTTACATGATCATAAACCTTACTACAAAATTATTTATTTGTCGATATCTCATTGGTGCATAACCTAACTATGGAATAAAAAAAATTCTTATTACGCTATTTGACAGAAAAGTTTTAATGTCATAGATAATAATTATTTGATATTGTAAGCCAAGAAAAAATCTTCTGAAAGAGGTTTGAATACAACCCTGCTAATGGAAAATGCCGCATGGCAACGTGTACTAAAATAATTCGCAGTTTGGTACAATTCGTTGGTTGGTGAATATACAGATCGTGTCGTGTGTTAAGCTTTGTCTACAAGTTCTTCAAATAATAAATTTATTTAATTGTGTTGTACTGATTAAGCAAAGGTTCGTGCAATTGTTGAAGACATTTATAGAAAAAGAACTTTGAATAGATAATTTTTACGTAAGATATTATCGGGGAATACACAACAAACTAGTGAAAACTGAAAATCGGCAAATGCAACGAGTCAACTGTCATTGCAGCGATACAGTTTTCACTCGTTCATTATTGAGGCTTGTGCGAAATGCACTATCGCGTCATTTATGTACTAAAATGTAGATGAAGAAGAAGCAGCGAAAGCAAAAAGAATTGCCGTGTTCTCCACCATTTTCCGCCATTTTGAAAGCTACGAGTGTAAATTTTTTGATTCGTCAGGCTACGCGTTGGTTATAGATATTTGCAAAAATTTCTTTATTGATTCATAAATAATTAAGGAAAAGAGTGGATTTTTTTCGTTTAAGATCTGAGCGAGTGTTTGTGAATAAAAAAAAATAGTTAAAGATCCGTGATTTGCTCGATTTATTCGAGAAAAAATTTATGTTCTGTACAAGCGGAAAGGGCTAACCACAAAATAGCAAGCCTAAAACAAGTGAACGAGTAGCAACAAAATCCACGGTCTGCCGCCGCGGCCGAAAAACTTGAAAAGGCAAAACTTGCAGAATACAAATCTTAATATATATATTGCTTTATATAAAACAAAATATAATTGACGTGTAAATCACTAAGGAGAAAGAAAATATATTAAGTTTTATCTGGCAGACATTCATCATAGTTCAATTTCCAGACCTTGTCACCATCGCAAAACATATTTAAGTCGGTCAATACGTACATATTGAATACTCTGACGAATATTGAATATTCGGCATACGTGAATTTTGACTCAAAAATTGCGAGTTTGTTTGTGGTAAGCTCTAAGTCTACTTTGTTATAGTAGAATTAATCTAATAGTGCATTTCTTTAGTAATTTGTGGGTTAATTACTATGAGAAACAAAATTGTGGTATAACTAAACTAAGTTCGTCATAACTTTAAGGATATACTTTTATTTTCACATTGCCAGGCTGTTGGCAAAAGCCTTTGCACCAGCCATAAACCGCCTCCTCTTCACACTTGCACGCCGTATAGAAAAAGAAAGTAACGAGTATCGGAGAAAAAAAGCAAATAAAGAGTTGCATATTTTGACGAGTATCTATGGCGCGAGCGAATTACTAGTTTAAGAAAGGTGGCGAACATTGTTGACACATTTTGACCAAGAATTCCATTTTGTGCTAACCCTACAAATATAAAAATATAAAAAAAAAACGTCTGTATAATAGAGATTAGGAGACATAATTTTACTTGATTTTTAAGCATAAATAAAAAATAAACATTCTAAATTTCGTCAACATGATAATAGGCTTAATTTGAATTGAAACCAAGAAAATCGGTATATATAAGAATATTTGAAAATCCTAAAGCATGCTCTTCACAAACAGAATGCGTCCATGTAAACGTATGAACAAAGTTGAATGAATAGAAAAACATACTTACATATACTCCTACAGGAAAAGTATTATAAGCAGCATTTTCACTGGAATAAAAATAGAACTTAGTAAAATCTTATCTATTTTCTGTAATTAGTATGCTTCTCATCCATTTTTTGTAGGCAAATATGTACATGTTTTCCCATTTCGTGTGTATGTATGACAAATACTGAAATGTTTACCCAAGTAAAATTTTTCAAAAATCTGCAACGATAGCAAATTAGTAGGAATTCAATATGAGTTTATTAAATCAATCCACATACATATTTGTATATATGTAAGTATTTGTTTATTGCAGTGCAGTATTATTCCCACCATTATTGAGTTTATTGAGCTCATATTCCTAATAATCCGAATTTGATTTATTTTAGTGTCAAATAAGTCTAAAGTGTGCGACACAAAAAAACTTACATATGTTTGGATAATTATGGTTATTTGATACATTATTTATACATATAAAATGATTGACTGTTGTTATGCATGTACTTTTGAAATTGAACTAATATTAACATCATAAGCACATACACTCATAATAGTACAATATATGCTATAAAATGACTCAATTAAATAGATTATATGTACGAACGAGCCATCAATTTTAATTCCCTACATTACATTTTTTTTGACTATTGTTTTAAAGATTGGGATAAAAGAATAATGAAGAAAATTTTTAAATTATCACACTGCCCTTTAATCGAATTCAAGTCAATAACAACAAAAAAATTTTCCAAACAAATATACCTGTCAATAATATACTTGTTGGAAGTGCATACATATTTCTGTATTAGTGCGCAATGAACTGAATTACGAATGCCGCCAACACATCGCAAACGCTTTTGTACTTTGATAACAAGGAAATTGTGTACATGCGCGAAACAGCTTACTAAGTAAAAATCGACCGCGGGATGACGAACAAAACAATTCAATAACGAAGAAGATATTGAGCCATATAAAATATAACCAACATCATTCGCCAAACATGCAAACATACCTAAGAACAGACAATCATACATACATTTTATTGTCTTAAACTTCATTTCGCATTTGTATGATTTACTCTACTAAGAATATATTAAAATAATGCGGACGTCGGGCTTAACGATGGGTCAGTCAATTTATGGCACGTTCAACTCTCTTTTCCGTTGAGCCGCTAAGAATTGTATCTGGTTAGGTACTAATGTACTTGTATATATGTATCTATGTAAATACACACTTTGTTGAAGTCAATAAAGCCACATGTTTTTGGAGTCGCCGATAGCGACAGCAACGTAGCAACAGTAGCTGTGTAACTTCCAGTAATTTTGCTATGTGGGTATCAATGAGTTACTTTTTGCTCCGTGCTGAATGCCAATTGTTGCATTTCGGTATGTGTTCTAAGGTTCGCACGAGAATCAGCTATACGTGTCAGCAGAATATGTATATGTTGTTGTTTAAATATCTTTGCACTGGTATCGCGTGCGGCGCATTTGTTTTAGCGAGTTAACCAAAGATGTTTAGCGGGAAATGTGCATGAGTTGAGTTGCATCTACCTGTCGGGGAGATTATCTTCATGTGGCTATAGTCATACTTCTTTTTTAAAACCTGAATTTCGGAACTCATATTCATAGAGTTATGTGATTTAAGTTTTCTTTATTAAAAAACAGAATTAAAAAACACTGAAATCTCGTTATTTAAAATTAAAGATTAGATTTGTAAATAGAGCAAGTTAGTAATGTGGGAATATATGTGACCAAGATGCAGCCATCGGCGCTTATTTTGAGTAGAATGTAAAAAATTGCACAACGGCCAATAAGCAGATAGTCAGTCAGTCAGTCAGACTGTTAGTAATATATACATATGTATATAAATATATAATTCTTTTTTAATTTCATAGCAAAGCTGAGCTGGTAGAAATATGAAAAGCCTATATTATTGTTCACTTTGCTTCGTTTACAGGCATAAACTGTATAAGAGGGAAAGGCGCAACTTTATAAACACTATTCTTTTCACGTTTTTCTGTTTTATTTTTACTTTTAGTTTTCAACTCAATTTTCAGGAATTGTAGAGAGCAAAAACCGGTTTTTTGCATTTGTAGAATGTCAATTGTATTTCTACATACAAACATATGTATGTATGTATGTATATTTCTTAACTTGATAATATCATTATATTCGACGGTTGTGGCCCGTTTCTGCTGCTTTCCAGTCTGGTTTGTTGCCATGTTTTATGTACATATGTAGATAGACGCGTATATATGCACACATACATTATGTACATATGTACATGCTATATGAGTATCCATTTGTATGCTATACAATGTTTAATTGTTTGTAGTTTACTGTACAACTATAAATTTAGATGCAGTGGTAACGACAGTATGGTGGTGGTGGTGTTTAACGTTCTTCTCAACCGATCAAGTATGCCGGTCATTGGTTTAACTTGTTGGCATTCATTTCACTGGTTTTCACATTTTCAACTCCATTCGATTTCAATCTAATCTGCTAACAATTCGCTCCTACAACAACAACTGCGTGATCGGTAAAAACCGGATATAGTGTGTAATTTAGTATGTACATATGTATATATGTCTGCAATTTTAAAAATATATCTGCATATACACTTTACATATCCATGTGTGTATTTGCATGTTCTTTATTTTACTTGCTGATTTTTTTTTGTTGACGATCTTGGCGCCTGAATAGTTTCATTATGTCAAACTTTATTAAAAAGTTAATCAAAACACATTTGAGAAAATACTGTTATTCACTTTATTAATTTCAATTTCTTATTATCACATCAATCTTGTAGACGTCCACTGCATACATTGGTGCCTCTCAGACCACGTTCAAATGTTATCTTCGAAAGGATTTTTTCCATCAAAAAGCAGATTTAAATTAGTACAGGATTTTCTTTTTTTTTTCATTGTTTTAAGAATTACATTGGTCGAGGGCCGGATTAATAAAGATTTTTTTAGTTACACGTAATCGTAGGCTTGGCCATCGTCCAATATATTCAATTTGTGTCATCACCGTCGTTGGGAGTTTTAAAGAGACAAGTGTATATATGTATGTTTTATAGTGTTATCCATTTCGTGGTGTCAAAAGTATAGATCTTTATTTAGACATTTTTCAAACTTAACTGACAAACCAAACATGTTTTCTTTAGTTTATTTAATGAAAATAGATCGCATATCAACCGCACAACGCTTTAAAATTTTTAAAACCTATTACACAAATGGTGGTTGAAACGTCTGACTACTCAAACAATTATTAAAATTTGAGAATAAATTTGAGAAGACTGTATCTGGTTACATACATGGTTTTCTTCGCCGATGAGGTTGGGGTACGTAAATAAGCAACATTTGGAATTCGGAGAATACTCAAATCTTGGAAGAAAGGCAATTATACCTGGAGGTGGGATTGAACCTTACTTATTTGAAAGCGACAAGAGCTCGACAGTCAATATCAATTCGGAGCGTCATGGCCGTATGATAACCGATTTTTTTTTGGCCTTCATTCGAAAAACACGTCCTGGACGTGGGCAATATGTGATTTCAACAAGCTTGTGCTATATGCCTCACAACATGATCGAAAATGGCTTTATTGCGAGAGAAATTCGCCAAAAGATAATCGAAAATATCAATTTTAATAACCTTTATTTTCGAAACCGAAAAATGGATAACCATGTATATTGTTACTGAAGATGATTGTTAACAAAACATGTTTATTTTATTTTTTATTCCCTCCAACAAAATCCAATACTGTTTTTTTAACTATTTAACAATAATCAAAGACCCATTTTTGGATAAATTTGGGAAATCGAGTGCACATACATATGTATGTACATTTATTTCTTACCCTTCTCTATAATCGTTCTTAAATCTTCAAATTTATACCTAATATGTATAAAACTTATTACGCGCTATTCTCTGTTTTTCTAGTCGTTTTAGATCAGTTGGAATTTTTTTGATTTGCACGTCATCAAGTTATTTCAAAGACAAAAAAAAAAGAAAAACAAATACATTATCTTATCATTCACTTGACGTGAAGGCGAGAGAAACAACATTTATAGCCTGCTACTTAACATGTACATGCATATGTACTTACATATATACATATGTATGTATGTATGTATGTATGTATATTGTTTTATGAATTTTTAATCAAACGTTTGCTGTCTTAATAGTGAAGCATTCTGACTAGGGAGGGGAGATTACAGGTGTTGGTGATTTCACAATTGCGCGCTTTATCTGCTTTCAGCTGCCTTATCTTCGAAAGCGCCGCACGTTGTGTTAGATATAGTATTTGTCTTGTTATTTATTCGTTCATAATTTTTATTAATACATACTAATATATTGGTACAGTAAAAGCTTCTGTGTACTATTTTGAATTGGCTATTAAAACGAACAGTTGCCTATAGATGTATGTATGTTTAGCTGCTTCTTCAGATATGTTTATATGGATCTGTGTGTATGCAATTTTAAATAATTAAAATTTTGTGTGCATTACGTTGTTGTGGTAATGATTTTTAGCGAATAAATATCAACACTAAAATAAAATAAAAAAGTGAAAAAGCACAGTCGCACCATTTCACATAAAATACATACATATTTACATATGCATTTGTGCGTGTACGTAGTTCAACTCCACACAACCTTCTAATTTACCGATCTAATAAATTATGTTTTATTATTACGAATACTGCGGATAAACACTCACAATTTTATACATATACATACATATGTTTGTACACATTCACACATGCACGAGGTATTTTACTACGTACTTTTGTTGTTCACATGTGCATCTTTCCCTGAATGTTTATAAATATTTAACAAGTTTTTGTGTTGAAAACGGAATCTACATACATACATATTTTTATTGTATTTTGCTTATTGCCTTTGTTTTTGTCGTGATTAAGTCACAATCACAGAATGCCGGTTATTAAATCTGCTGTTAAGACAATTGAGTTGATATTCATAATTTTTCCTCAATGATAACAAAGGAAATAAAAATATTGAAAGTTTTTTTATTTGATATTGAAAAGGAATTAGATGAATTTTGGGATTAGATAATAACACACAGCCTAGAAATTCTCTCAACTATGTCGGGCTTAAAAGGAAGTAAAATGAATAGTCTTTGACTTTCCATTTCATTATAATACAACTCTCCGTTTTAGATGCTATTACAAATACAACGTAGCGTGATTTTCATTGCATAAATAATATCGTAACAATTTCTTGTATTTGTAAACAATATTCTCACTAATTGCATTCTATTAATTTTTATATTTATAGTTAATATGGACAATTCAACATGAAGGAACTCAAGAAGCGACTATCTATGAAGGTCACACATTATTTGTAATAAATTGTAAACGCTGTGTCAGTTGAAATATATGAAAAGTGAAAGAAATACATGCGCTAAAAAATCGTCAACGCTTGTCTAGCTGAGGAAAACTAAGAAATTGCAATTCATCACATTTCTTTTTTAAGGTCAAAGTTTTCTTTATTATTATTTATAGCTGAGGTAAATATTGTTGAATTTATTATGTAATAAATTAATTGTAATATAACAACAGACTTTCTTATGTTTGTATTTTCAGGAAGATTGTATAGAAGAAAATTGGTAAATTAAAAAAAAAAAAACTAAATATACATATATATACGATTACCACAAAGTGACAACGTAAGCATACAAAGAAAAAATCGGTACAAAACATAATGGATAAAAATATGATGTTGCCGAAGCGTTCACGCCTAGACGTGAAGGGTACATTTGCAAATGGGCCATTGCAGGCACGTCCACTGGTGGCGCTGCTTGATGGACGCGATTGTTCAATTGAAATGCCCATACTAAAAGATGTGGCCACTGTGGCCTTCTGCGACGCACAAAGTACATCTGAGATTCATGAAAAGGTAATTTCTTTTATAAATGTCAATGGAAATTAATTCAAAAATGTTAAAAAATGTCTTAATTTTTAGGTTCTAAATGAAGCCGTTGGCGCACTTATGTGGCATACTATAATCCTCACAAAGGAGGATTTGGAAAAATTCAAAGCTTTACGTATCATAGTGCGAATTGGTAGCGGCACTGATAATATCGATGTGAAAGCAGCGGGCGAGCTCGGTATTGCCGTATGCAATGTACCCGGCTATGGTGTTGAAGAAGTTGCAGACACAACAATGTGTTTGATATTGAATTTGTATCGAAGAACCTATTGGTTGGCGAATATGGTGCGCGAAGGCAAAAAATTTACTGGTCCCGAACAAGTTCGGGAAGCTGCACATGTAAGTGCAACATTATTATTAACTAAATTCAGCCATAAATGTTTTTTAATACTTATAATGTTTTTTTAATATCTAAAAAAAAATGCTATTATTCAAATCACAGGGTTGCGCTAGAATTCGAGGTGATACATTGGGTCTCGTTGGTCTGGGCCGTATTGGTAGTGCTGTTGCATTGCGAGCAAAAGCTTTTGGCTTTAATGTTATATTTTACGATCCTTATCTTCCGGATGGTATCGACAAATCCCTAGGCTTGACTCGTGTTTATACCCTACAAGATTTACTATTTCAATCGGATTGTGTGTCGTTACATTGCACACTCAACGAGCATAACCATCACTTAATTAATGAATTCACAATTAAACAGGTAAGCCGATTTGTTAAACCTAAAATGTGTTTATTTTTCTTTTTTATATTTCATAATAACAAATTGTTGTATACACACAGATGCGACCTGGTGCATTTTTAGTAAACACAGCACGTGGCGGTCTGGTCGATGACGAGACCTTGGCACTGGCTCTGAAACAAGGCAGAATAAGAGCTGCAGCTTTAGATGTGCACGAAAACGAGCCCTACAATGTATTCCAAGTAAGCGCTCGATCGCTTAACTAATTAAATATATATATATTTTTTTCACACACCTATTAATCGTTCCAATTTCATCATAAACGTAAAATTCTTTTTTTTCAGGGAGCCCTTAAGGATGCTCCAAATCTTATATGTACACCACATGCAGCCTTCTTCAGCGATGCATCCGCAACAGAGTTGCGCGAAATGGCAGCAACGGAGATACGACGGGCAATAGTCGGCAATATTCCAGACGTCTTAAGGAATTGTGTTAATAAGGAATATTTCTTGCGAACACCAGCAGCAGCCGCTGCTGCTGCGGCTGCGGCAGTGTATTCAGAAGGTAAACTACAAATATTATCAAATCCAGAAAAGTGAAAGTAATATTTTAACCTAAAAGTAATATTAAAAGTAAAAAACAAGCAACAAAACAAAAGAGAAAATAGAAGCGAAACATTGCAGATTACATTAAGCGCGAAAGTTTAATAAAACAGACAGGTTTAAAATACAATTAAAAATTATTATGTACACCACAAAAACAGAGTTAAAGATAATAATAACAATATGGGGTGTAATTAAAAACCGCAAACTATACAGTATATTGAAAAAAAAAAATGAAATGCAAAGAATATTAAAAACAGAAAAGATGATAAGCTAAGTAAAGGCAAATAGTAGGCGACATAATAAGGACTATTTAAGAAACTAATTTAATTGCGAATATACAAAAAAGGCAAAACACACACAATTAGCTTAGTGCATAGAACCACAATAATACCAATAACAACAAACGAAAAAATATATATGTATATTAAATACAAAAATTAAAGTAGCAACAAGTCAACAACAAAAAAATAAAATATATATACATATATATATATATATAACACAATGCACATACACATAACATAAAGAGAGAGATAAAGAAAATAAGTGAATTTCTTGGAACAAATTTAATTAGGTTCATAGCAGCGCAGTAGTAGCAGAAGCATACACAATAGAGCATATTCATATATGTTTCCATTTCCTTAATAATTAAAGTCATGCAGTTGTATGATATATGTATATGCATACATGAGCTTACCATTATGTGTACATATGTATATTTGTATGTATGTACTATACATACTCGTATATATAATTATGTCCAAATTCATTTACACTTTTCTTTCACTAGTATACGCGTTCCATATATATATATATACATACTTACTCATGTAGAAAACAAGTGTAAATACTGAAAACGTATCAAGAAATATTGAGCGGCAATAATTTGTTTCAATATAATCAGTTAGACACAAAACACAAAAGGGGAACGGTTTGGTTAGATCCTACTAAATATCTATTTAAATTGTAATATTTGTATTTTCGTTGCTCATCTACATAATTCTCATGTTCTTGGTTTAGAGCGCATTGCTGAATTTTTTCAAAGTCATTTGTACCACACGTTTGTAAGAAAATTGTTCTTGTCCTTACATTTAAATTTTCTTAAATTTTCTTGTAAATCCAAAGTCAAAGGTGCCGTGACTGGCAGGTTGTATATGTAAGAAAAGAAGTTTGAGGATGAGCAGAATTTCTAATTCAAGTATAACTTAATTTTTAAAACAATTTACTTTTACCAATTGATTTATGTGTTTGTTTTTACTTGTGTATAAATAAAAATTTTAAACTTTCAAATAATTTGTAATAAATCCGCCTATTAAGGATTTATTAATTTGCTGTGTAGTTCGCTTAATATTTCCATATTTTTTATTCTTTAACATACTTTTTATTACCTGACGGAATTTTTTTTTTAATTTTTGATTGGTTTACTTAAGAGTTTTGAAACAACTTATTTATCATATATTATTCTTTCTAAAGTTCATAATTTTTATAGCTTATAGTTTATAACTAAATGAAATTCTGTGTTATTGATTCAGTTGTAAATTATGAGACAAAAATCAAACCGTAGAAATGGTTATTTCGGAAATATGAGCAATATACATATGTATATTATATTTTCTTCAACCAATATGTCAATAAAATTATACACAATTTTTTTTTTTTAATATTTAACAGGAGTTGGTCACAAACGAAATGTTTTATAACATACAAGAAATTTGCTTGTGACTTTTTTACTTCTAAATGAATAACAAAATCAAGCAAATATTAAATAATTAAAAAGGACTGCTCATTCAAAAATGAAGAAAATATTAGATGGGCTTTAACTGAAATTTTGAGCGCAACATAATAATAATGCAGAAGTAAATGCAATAAGAGGTCCGTTAAATGCTATTGAAATTTGTGTGTGTTAACGAATGTTATTTGTAAGAGTGGGTCTTATTCATAATTGTAAAATAAACATGTCGTATATAAACCATACATAAAAGTAGATATGCTTTATTTATATAATTTTTTTTTAACATCTAAATATCTGTGCATATAAGGACTAAATATAACATCATATGTATATGTTATCTAAGAAAAAATTGAAGAAAATAAAAAACCAGAAAGAAAAAATTTACTGACTTTCAAAAACAAATAAAAATTCACAGTAGTTACAACAATAAACTGACGTATATGTATTTATTTAAACTCAAGCAATGATTTAAGATAAAATACATGCAATTACATTTATTTATTTATTTGTATATTGTGTTTGCTAAATCATAAAGAAGTTGGTTTGGAACAATAACAATGAAAATTTGCTCTTTTAAATGATCTCATCATCCTTTTTTATTTCGACTACTTTCCTCTATATAAATTTAATGGTACAAATATGTATAAATACATATATAAATATATATTTGTTTTGCAATTCAGCATATTGTCCAAAAATTTTGCTCTAAATCGAAGTTTAAATTACACTCTATAGAAAAAGAGAAATGTTAATGGGCAAGAATTACAACCAAACCGTTATTAAAACTGTGTTATGTAGCTGATATTTTCATGAAAGAAATAAACTGAAAGAAATATATGTATAAAAATGGCGCAGGATAAGAAATGGGCATCCAAAAACCTCAAGTTATGATGAACTTGAAGGAAGATGAGAGAAAAATACATAAAAAAGAAACATTTGAACATCTAACAAACTTAAAATATGTTTATATAGATTATGTATATTTAAAATATCTTAAATTTAATAATAATAATTTAGAAGTACGAGTATATATAAGTATATACGAGTATATATTAAAGTAAATAATAAATACATATATAAAAACACCGATTTATAAGTTCAATAACAAAAAAAGTTAGTATGTAGTTTTATGATTACAATTAATAATAATTACAATAATTTTCGTGTGAAAATATATGTTTACATTACGTTTGCATTACGTTTGCATTTGTCGTCAATCACTGTTCCAAACTTTAATGGTGAGAAAATGCTGTTGGGAAAGTGTAATAGAACTAAAAGAAAAATCCAAGGAATTATTAAAGAAATATATGCCACTTTCCAACTGTCATACAGAGTGCTTGTGCACTTTCCAACACTGTAAACGCACTGTTCATTAGTATGAATACACAAAGAAAGAAATAAAAAGAAGAAAAAATATTCATATTAAAACTCTTAAATGTCCGGTTAGAATTTATATTTGAAATATTTACCACAATTTCCCAACTGAATTGATTTTTTAAAGTGACTTATACCATTGATTAGTTATGCAGCCACATATTAAAGTAAATTCATTGATAATTTATGCTTAAATTAGTATATTTTAAAAAAATAAAATAAAAATACAAATTTTAATTTACAAAGTAGGAGTATTTTGCACAAAATAAAAAACAATACGACGAGCAAATGGTGTTGAACAAGCATAATATTTAGCTGGTCGTCGTTTCTCTTTAAATATTTTTTATTCTTTATTTATTGAAATTAAATATATAATGTTGCTAAATGTTTGATGACAAGTTTAAAATTGGAGTCGAAAGTGTCGTCAGCGTTCGCCGCCACATTTATGTGGAAAAAATTCATTCACACAGCTATAGTTGACAGAGCCGGCCGACTGCCGACTGCCGACCGCACATCAATCAATACCTTCACTGCAAAATCACCACACCTATAGTTGAAATTGCAACGGAATATGTATATTGAACACACTCCCACATTGAGAAAACATGAATAAAGAAATTATAAATATTATAAGTATAAATGAGACACTTAAAAATATAAGTTTAATTAAGAATGAGCAAAGATTGAAGAAAAAAGTAATAACAGATTAAAATGATCACGCCCATATGGTCATGACAATGATGCAAAAGAAAGTAAATATGAAAAGAAAACTGTTATTTTGTATTGTATAAATATTTTTAATAACTGTGAAAGCTAAATAAAATTAAACTTTTCCAGAGAAAAAAAAAAGAAAAACAAAAACAAAAATAAACTAAATTCTAATAACAAAAACGCGATAAATCTTTTCTTTTATCAATAAGCGTTGGAACATTTAACGTGGTTTGTTTTATATCGCCTGCCTGTTCTGTTTTATGTTTTATTTTGTAATTTACTAAAAAAAACTTTAATTTGTACAATTATCTTGTTAGGTTTATTTAATGTTACTTGAAATTTTCTGGGATGATGGAATCATTAAGTGAGAGCAAAATTTTTGTAATATTAATTTAAAAAAAAAAGTATATATATATTCTTACGCACATACATACACAATTACACCACTATTTTATTAATACATATAAATCTCAGTACGAAATATAAATTAGTAAAAATAATTGACTAAGTGCTGCTTATTGAAAGTCAGTAAATTTATTAAAAGTAGTACATAATCGTAAAAAAAAAGTTATGTAATAGGTTTATATATGACAAGTTATTCAAAAAAAAAAAAAAAGTTAAGCCGTAAATCAGTATGATAGATTTAGAATTCATTAATTACTATTCTAGTGAAAATGTTTGGCCACATATTGCAACGAGACACGACAAATTCGTTTATTCACTCGCTTTATTATATCACTTTGTTTTGTGCAGCATATATTCGTTTCCATCATTCCCACGAATTTCAAACTTAAAGAACGATAAGAAATCAAAAACAATTCAAGATTCATGCTTTCTTACGTTTGTATGTAGTAAATGTGTGTGTGTGTGCGTTTGCGTGTGTGCTTCTGTTTGCTGTGTACATACATATAAACAATTATTTTTGATTTGGTGTGTAACTTATGATACTTTCTTTTATCGAATTTATTATTGTGTCCGGTATCAAGATTGTCAGATTGATATGTTTTATTCTCAATATTTTTCCATAGCTCTTTTTGTGTTCATTACTTCGGTAATTTATCAGAGGATGAATTTCATATTTATGAACACGTATGTGTATAGATACATAAACACATAGTTAAGTAAAGCTGTTAAATTTTCAATAGAAATTAATTGTGCTATCGAAAAAAATTAAAATCGTTTAAAAGCAGTTTAGGTTAGGTTAGGTTGAGCCGGTTGACGGTCAGCGGATGTCACTTAGACCATAATAATCCATAGTGATGCTAGACACACTACAGACGACCAAGCTGCACTGTTAAACTCTTTTTTTTACTAATGTTTGACTTTTAAAAGAAATTGTGCGTGAAATGGATATTTGCTTTCACTAGTTTTTAAGTTTTTTGCTGCACCCAGTAGACGTTTCTTAGTCAAAATCATAATCCTTGAGATTTCCGCCTTTGCAAATAGAAAATCAAATGAAACTCAAGCAAACAGAGATTTCGCGATTAGGCGATTGATTAGGTTTTTTATGATACGAAGAAATGTCAATTAAAATAAAAATTTAAAATATCAATGCAATGTATTTGTGTGCTAGTTGTGGCCCAATTAAGAGAATATTTTTTAACTTTTGAACAGCAAGAAACTGCCTTGAGCATTTATGTAGTTTACCATGGCCGCCATATAAAATAGCATTTTTTTTTACAACGGTTTCATCAAAAAACAAATAATTTTGCAAAAGTTCAATTTCGGGATTATATATTTTTAATTTATTTGATAACAAACATCAGTCATTTGCCCAACTGATCCACAACTGTTGGAGCTTACAAATATTTTCCTCAGGGTATTAAAAAAGGATATAAAAAAAAAAATTTTCATTGAATATTTTAATTAATATTAAAAAAGAATAAAATATATTCTTCGTGATAGAGAAAATAATGTCTTAGATTCATTAGTATAAAATCGTATTAAAACAAAAGCATTCGTGTAAAAAGAGCATCAGGGGTACATGAATTTTCAAGCAGCTCTTGTCAAAATAGAAATTTTTTCCCGTGCGGCGGTCTGATGGGCAGTAAAATTTTTTACTAAACTTTACTGCATAGTAATCGTTGAGCCAAAAATCCAGTAAAATTAGTAACGAGATAGTACAAATCTGACATTTAGTTTGGAGAGAAAGCAAGTTTAAAAAACAGCCAGTTTGTGATCATATGATTGAACTTTTATCAACAAAAAAATTGGTTAAAATTAAAATTAGAATGATATACTATACCATGACATAATAACAATATTTTTAAAGGAAGTTTCATTCTCTCTTCGCAAATGCTTCGGCTTCATAGCTTTACTGACACTAGACGTGTTTCGACTATTTCGTCTTCTCTCTCTTCTCTTAAACAATATACTATTTTTAAATAAAAAATATATGGAGAATTTTCAAATTTTTTTTAAATGTTTAAACATTCAAAAATCACGTATTATATCGAATTTTCCAACCCCTGATAGTGGGCTTCATCGAGTGTATGCTTTATATGATTGTTTATTACAACTTTAGATAATAAGAAAGTGTCAGAAAATGAAGAGATTCGGCCACCAAAATTTAAATCGATTTCAAGAAGATGAAGAGCTGAGTGGAATTGCTATAACTACGTTTGAATGTAAATCCGTCTCACAATGTTAGTGATGTTTGAAGGAAATTTTGTAAGAAAACAGGACATTGTTTTAATAATTGTGGGTTTTTAGAGCAGCGCGAATTCATTATAGAAATTGAATAATTACGCTAAAAGTCGATTAAACTTTCCAACACTTTGGAATCCAATCTAACCGCCAAATATGTTGCTATTAGACAGTTAGTAGATTATTGTCGGATTAAGGGGTGAAACCACTCTAGAATTTTGGAAAACACAATTCTTTTGTTTTTGCTCACAGGGTATCTTTGGGTTCTAGAAGTGATGTGAAATGGGTTTTAAAGTGGAAAAAATATGTATTTCGAATAACTAATTTTTTTTATTTTGCTTCCGCCCGTCAGAGCTAAGTGCAATGAAAACTTTAAACACGTTTTTCTCAAAATCACATTTTTCAATCTGTAATTTTGATGGTAGCTTAGCAAATGTCTCTTTTTTTTTTTAGAAGTACGTAGAGGTTTTTCGATTAAATGTAAACTTTTCTTCTATATTTAGTGCGTATTTTTAAGTCAAAAATCAATCTTTAAAAAAAGTGTACCGATTTCACAAAAATTGGTTTTAAAATAAATCCGTACGTATTTTGCTTTCCTGTTTTAGGCCTCTTCCTTTAGAAGAAATCGGTCCTCTAGCGGAAGATGGCTAATAAAAATTAAAAATTTTTTGTACTTCAATATATGTTCAATGAAATGGTTAAATAGGAATTATATGCCTTTCCCCATATTCCCATGTGGAATTTTGAAAAATAAGTATTTTTTTTCAATCTCTGGTGTGGTTAGTTTGACATGCTAATTAATTGAAACCCAAATAAAAATCGATTAACATACGTACACCATTATAAAGGGTGAGTTTTTAGCTATTATCTTCTTGGCAACACTGGTATTAACAGCTGAAGAACGTTTCGTGTTTTCTATCACTGTCAAACATCTTCAGGTTGGTCTATAATTTAACCATGAATCGTCATACAAACGAACAACGCTTGCAAATTATCGAATTTTATTATCAAAATATGCGTGCTCTGTTAAGAGAGTTCAATTCAATTTAATTTTGTTCAGCGACGAAGCTCATCAGCCAGAAGCATTGCAAGAGCTACCAATGCGTTCAGAAAAAGTGACAGTTTGGTGCGGTTTATGGGCTGGTGGCGATTATATCAAACTTTGTTTGCCCAAAATGCAAGAGCTCGACTTGCATGACAAGTAGTTTCAACAAAACGCAATGGACTTATTTAGAGGCGAGTTCGGTGAACATTTTATTTCACGTTCGGGACTGATCAATTTGCCGCCTAGACTATTTTTTGTCTATACAGACAAGCCCGCTTCAATTGACGCATTGGAGGACAACATTGAAGCATTTATTCGTGAGATGCCGGCCGAAATGTTGGAAATAGTATGTCAAAATCGGACTAAGCGGATGGACCTTTTGAGGCGCAGTTACGGTCAACATTTTCATGAAATAATCTTCAAACATTAAATTATATGGACCGCACTATCGATGTGTTTTTTTTGAAAAATTTTCCTATAGCTCTTAAAAAATCACCTTTTAGGAGCGCTGATTATCAGAGATTTTTTTAATGCTTTTTTTTTGCCATTTTCATAAGATTGATAATTTTCAAGCACTTGTCAATATACATATGTGCGTACGAATGTATGTATTGTATGTATGCCATGAATGCGTGTTACATTAGGTCTTACTAGATATTT